TATTTCTGAGTTGAAGGTCTATTTATTTACTCCCTTGTTAGAGAAGGGCAGGAGAGTACCTGGGAATCACTGGGATCCCTGGGCAGCTGATCTTGCCCTTTATACACCCCCTTCTCCCAGGCCTGCCTCAGAATCTAATCTATTTATTGACTGTCCTGAGGGCCTGGATTTCCTTCTGGGCTGATATGCTGCCCTGAGGGTAGGGCTGGCTCTTACTCAGGAAATTGCTGTGCCCAATCAATGGACAGGCCCAGCTGGGGCCATATGCTGACACAGACTCACTCAGAGACCCTTAGACACTGGACCAGGCCTCCGCTCAGCCTTCTCTTTGTCCGTTTGTCCAGATTTCCAAAGCTGGAGAGTTGGTCATTGATTAAAAAAGGAGAAAACCTCTGGGTATGTGTCTTACGATTGTGATCATTTGGAGGAGAGTGAAAGATGGTGAGGGAGACAATAATTGGTTTTTTTGTCTGTTTGTTTTTTGAGATGGAGTCTCACTTGTCACCCTGGGTAGAGTGCTGTGGCGTCATAGCTCACAGCAACCTCAAACTTCTGGGCTCCAGCAATTCTCTTGCCTCAGCCTGTTAAGTAGCTGGGACTACAGGTGCCCACCACAATGCCTGCCTATTCTTAGAGATAGGGTCTCACTCTTACTCAGGCTGGTCTCTAACCCATGAACTCAGGCCATCCACCTGCCTTGGCCTCCCAGAGTGCTGGGATTACAGGCTCCTGGCCCTGGAGAAAATAATTGTAATAGATGGTGTTTTCCTTCCTGTCCTCAAGTTTATCCTCCATTTGGGGCCATTTGGCCACCAGGGGATGCCCAAGTCCAAGGTTTTTCTCCAGGCTCCGCCCTAGGACCATCTTACATTGGCCCCTCCCTACTTGGGGCTGAGTTTAGAGCAGCCACTGCACCTGTCTCCAGAGTTGGGACAAGAGAACAAAAAGGGATCCTTGGCTCGGCGCCTGTGGCTCAAGCGGCTAAGGCGCCAGCCACGTACACCTAAGGTGACGGGTTCGAATCCCCAGCCCGGACCCGCCAAACAACAATGACGGCTGCAACCAAAAAATAGCCAGGCGTTGTG